AGAGGGATATGACATCAAAGCTCACAAGTAGGTCGCTGGGCTGTAAGTTTTGTTTCTTTATGATCTCTATAAAGTGGAATGAGTTTTTTTACGTGTGAGGTGATGGATTCTGCATAGGGCTGTAGTTGTTTGGCGAGAAATTTGGCTAGGTTTTGTAGAGGTGAGCTTATGGAGCTGACTATAGGTCTGAGTGGGATTCCTTCTTTGTGTATCTTGGGGAGACCGTAGAGTTTGGGGCATCTGGATGATTTCTCTCTGGGAATGATTCTTTGCTGGATCTCTTCGCTAATGGGGGAGGCTTTTATTTTGGATCTGGTGGTTTTTTTCCAGGTAGGTGGTGGGCTCTGTATTTAGGGGTTTGTATGTGGAGTCTTGGAGTAGGTTGGTTAATTTGGTTGGTAGTCAGATGTGTTCATAACCACCGTGGCGTTGCCCTTGTCTGCTGGTAGGATTATTATGCTGGTGTCTTCTTTCAGGTTACGTAGTGCTGTCTGTTCCTCTTTGGGTAAGTTGCTTTGGGGTGGCTTGCTGGTGCAGAGGATGTTGGTGATTTTGAGTCTGATTTTGTTAGCGTCATCGGGGTTGATTTTGGTCAGGCTGGTTTCAACTCCACATATAATGGTTTCAGTGGGGATGTGTTTGGGAGTGACTGCAAAGTTGAATCCTTTGGAAAGGACATTGGTTTCGGCTTTGGTGAGAATCCTATCTGAGACGTTATGCACTGTTTGTTTCATGTGTGGCTGTGAGGGAGGAGGGGTTTGTTTCTGGCGTTCTTGTAGTCTTCGGAGTTTGTTGGTGTGTATATCTGTCTTGAGGGTGGTCTGTGTTTCGGCTCTCCAGACGGCGAGTTGTTTGGATTTGTCCCAAAGTGGGGGGTGGATCTTGTTGCTGAGTTTGAGGTGGAGTGTGAGGAGATCTTTGTTAATTCGGTCTAGGAGGAATCTTTTTGTGTGAAGTTCATTTCTGATTAGGGCCAATTCTGTTCTTTTCAGGATCCGTTTGGTGGCTGCAGAGTTTCGGAGTTGAATTTCAGTGGAAACATGTGGGGATTAGATTTTGATACTCGGCAGTTGAGTAGGGAATGTGAGGTAGCTAAAAATGGAATCTTTGGACTTCAAGTTTTTCATAGGTCCTGGGCAGATGGTGGATTTCCTCCCCGTAGAGGTTCAATATTTGTTTCTGAGGTTTTAGCGGGTGTTTTGTATGTAGGTCTTTGGTTGTCCGGGTTTTCTCCCGCGTAAAATTTAGGAAGTGTTTTGGCGACGTTTCGACGAAGCCCATTCGTCATCTTCAGGTGGTGTTTTCAGATTCGTGCTCAGCAGCAATGTGTTGTCATTAGCTGTTTCTCTTTTACTGCCAGTAATACCCCCACTGGCAGTTCAAAGGAAGAAACAGCTAAGACCACACATTGCTGCTCAAAGCACGAAGCTGAAAACACCAGCATGAAGATGACGAATGAGACTTCGTCGAAACGTTGCCAAGACACTTCCAATTTTACGCGGGAGAAAACCCGAACAACCAAAGACCTACATACAAATACCCGCGAAAACCTCAGAAAACAAATATCAAACCTCTACGGGGAGGAAATCCACCATCTGACCAGGACCTATGAAATACTTGAAGTCCAAAGAGCTTCCATTTTATGCGACCTCGCATTCCTACGCAACTGCCGAGATCAAAATCTAATCCCCACATGTTTCCAACTGAAATTCCACTCAAACTCTGCAGCCACCAAACGGATCCTGAAAAGAACAGAATTGGCCAATCAAGAAATGAACTTCACAACAAAAAGATTCCCTCCTAGGACCGAATTAACAAAGACAAAGATCTCCTGTACACTCCACCTCAAAACTCAGCAACAAGATCACCCCGCACTTTGGGACAAATCCAAACAACTCGCCGTCTGGAGAGCCGAAACACAGACCACCCTCAAGACAGATACACACACCAACAAACTCCGAAGACTACAAGAACGCCAGAAACAAACCCATCCTCCCTCACAGCCACACATGAAACAAACAGTGCATAACATCTCAGATAGGATCCTCACCAAAGCCGAAACCAATGTCCTTTCCAAAGGATTCAACTTTGCAGTCACTCCCAAACACATCCCCACTGAAACCATTATATGTGGAGTTGAAACCAGCCTGACCAAAATCCACCCCGACGATGCTAAAAGCTCAGATCGAATCCACCCAAAATCCTTCGTACAGCAAGCCACCCAAAAGCAACTTACCCAAAGAGGAACAGACAGCACTACGTAACCTGAAAGAAGACACCAGCATAATAATCATACCAGCAGACAAGGGCAACGCCACGGTGGTTATGAACACATCTGACTACCAAACCAAATTAACCAACCTACTCCAAGACTCCACATACAAACTCCTAAATACAGATCCCACCACCTACCTGGAAAAAACCACCAGATCCAAAATAAAAGCCTCTCCCATTAGCGAAGAGATCCAGCAAAGAATCATTCCCAGAGAGAAATCATCCAGATGCCCCAAACTATATGGTCTCCCCAAGATACACAAGGAAGGAATCCCACTCAGACCTATAGTCAGCTCCATAGGCTCACCTCTACAAAACCTAGCCAAATTTCTCGCCAAACAACTACAGCCCTATGCAGAATCCATCACCTCACATGTAAAAAAACTCATTCCAATTTATAGAGATCATAAAGAAACAAAACTTACAGCCCAGCGACCTACTCGTGAGCTTCGATGTCATATCCCTCTTCACCCAAGTGCCTATCAAAGAAGCCTTGACAGCTATTCAAAACAAATATAACCCCCCCAAACACATCTTAGATCTGACCAACCACTGCCTATCCAACACATACTTCATCTATAATGGACAAAAATAAAAACAAACAGAAGGAGCACCCATGGGATCACCCCTCTCACCTGTCATTGCCAACCTCTACATGGAACACTTTGAAACCCAAGCTCTAGAAAAATCGGATCACAAACCCAAACTCTGGCTCAGATACGTAGACGACACCTTCATAATCTGGCCACATGGGAAAGAAAAACTGGACAACTTCCTCACACACCTCAACAGCTACACCCCAAAATACAGTTCACCATGGAAACAGAAGCTAACAACCAACTTCCCTTCCTGGATGTCTTAGTCTACAAGAAATCCAATGGCTCCCTAGGACACACCATCTACCAGAAGAAACCACACACAAACCGCTATCTGCACGCTCTCTCACACCACCACCCAGCACAGATCAACTCTGTAGCCAAGACACTCATCTCCAGAACAAAACGATTAGCTGACGAACAACACCTAAAAACTGAACTACACACTCTCACCAATGTACTAACATCCAATGGATTCCAAAGAAATAAGATTACAAACCTAATCCAAAAAGAAACCCCCACTAAAATCCAAGACGAAGAACAAGAAAACGGCAAAGCCCTCCTCCCATACATAAATGGCACCACAGACAGAATCAGTAAGATCCTCCATAAACACAACATCAAAACAGCATTCTGCACAAACAAAAAAATATCCACCATCCTTAGAAACCCCAAAGATAAAATTGAATTAGAAAATCAAGGAGTATACGAAATCCCATGCACCACTTGTCCCACCACATACATCGGACAAACCAACAGAAGAATAAGTGCACGAATTGAAGAACATAAGAACTCAGTCAAAAAAGATGAACCAACATCTTCCCTGGTCCAACACCTTAAAGCCACAGGACATGAAATTGACTTTAAAAATACCAGAACCATTGCCAAAAGTGAACATTTTAATAACAGAATAATCAGAGAAGCCATCGAGATAGAAAACGCCCACACAGCATGAACAAGCGAGATGATACCTCCCGCCTACCAGCCATTTGGAAACCCGCCCTTATTGACAAACGACTCCCTAATACAAAAAATGATACCAGACCCACACTCACAAAAACCCCACAGGATGTCACCACCACACATCCACGCAAAAAGCAAACCCAAAGCCACACCGATGATGAGGCACGACCACAAACCAGAAGCCAGACCAGAGCTGCATCATTAGCCACTTCAAAGCCCTCCAATCCATACACGAAGCAAACTGACACCCTCCATGAAAATGAGGCACGACCACAAACGCGAAGCAAAAAAATAGCAAGGCAGCCCAAAATCTTAAACCCCTCTGCAACTCAGACTAACCTGAGCACAACCAAACATAACACTCCCCCAGCCAATCAGAGCACAACCAACCCCCCAGCCAATCAGAGCACAGCCAACCCCCCAGCCAATCAGAGCACAGCCACGCCCCTAACCCATCAGAACACACCTCCACCCAATCAGAACACAGCCAAGCTCCCACCCAATCAGTTCATACCCCCACTGGCAGTTAAAAGGAAGAAACAGCTAAGACCACACATTGCTGCTCAAAGCACGAAGCTGAAAACACCAGCCTGAAGATGACGAATGGGACTTCGTCGAAACGTCGCCCAGACACTTCCAATTTTACGCGGGAGAAAACCCGAACAACCAAACGACATAATACAAACACCGCGAAACCTAATGAACAAAACATATATAATATATATATATATTAATATATATATATATATATAATATATATACTATATATATAATTAATAATATGTTTTTGGAGTTCGGGTTTTCTCCCGCGTAAAATTGGAAGTGTCTTGGCGACGTTTCGACGAAGTCCCATTCGTCATCTTCAGGCTGTTTTCAGCTTCGTGCTTCGAGCAGCACGAAGCTGAAAACACCAGCCTGAAGATGACGAATGGGACTTCGTCGAAACGTCGCCAAGACACTTCCAATTTTACGCGGGAGAAAACCCGAACAACCAAAGACCTACATACAAACACTCGCGAAAATCTCAGAAAACACACACACACACACACATATGTGTGTGTGTGTATATATATATGTGTATATATATATATATATGTATGTATGTATGTATGTATGTATGTATGTATGTATATTGTATGTATGTATGAATAACATATTTAATTATGCTGAATCTGCTTACCAGCAGGTCCTGGCAATGGTGCTGCTTTTCTTCTTCGTTTGATATCACCCATACATAAGGATCCTAAATGGACGCTTGTCTGTCTGCAATGAAATCAGAGATATGTATGCAAAATGGTAAGCAAGCAGTTACATTGGGAAGTTGATGTAATAAAATTCATGATAGATTTAAAACAATCTCACTAAGATGGAAATCTACTGTTCCTCTAAAACTGAAATTTAATCAAGTTTCTTGATAAACAGGAAGCAGGAGTGATATACTATAAATAACTGTAGAAATAAACAATGTACATTAATACTTTAAACTGCTCAATTTGGCAGCCTTTCTGACTAAACAGAGGAAAAAAGTAAACAATAGTCTTTCATAAGTTGTAAACTTGTGGCATCTTTTAAAAAATTGACTTGAGTTTTAAAACAAAATGGAAAAGAAATGTGTTTTGTTTCATTTTCAAGTTGTTTATCATAACTTAGATTCATTATTGAATCTACAAGGGAACCATCCAAAAGAACAGTGGTGGGAAATCCGAGGTAACATCATGGAAATTGCTAGAAAGTATATGTCATGACCAAAAACCAAAGAGAAGAAATAAGTGACTATCTGATGACACCATCAAAATAGCTGATCATTGTTCAGGCAGCCAAAGCCAAAGGTAAGTCAAAAGTCTGAATGCAATTTTCCAGTGTGAAGTCAGGAAAGACAAAATAGGCAGTGGGAGAAGCAGTGCCAACATCTGGAAGAAGTTAACAAGGAGGGACATACTATGGTCATGTTTGCTGTAGTTAAAATGATGCAATCCAGCTTTTCAGCCTGCAAGGAAACATTAAAGACAGGAATGCAACAGGAATGTACTACTGGTAAGTGACTGGCAGAAGTTCAAGAACAGGTGGAAAGAGTATATGGACAGACTCTATAGCAGTTTGACATACCATCAAGATGACAATGATAACAGCCTAATTATTAAAAAACCAAATATCTTGAAAGAAGAAGTATAATGGGCCATGGCAAAATTGTAGAACTGGAAAGCCCAAGGTATTGACGGAGTATCTGCAGAATTACTAAGACCAGTGCCAGTTAACATCATCACTGGCCTCACAAATAGAAAAGATCCATTTTTATCCCATTAGTAAAGAAAGGCAATGCTAGAGACTGCTCCAACTATTGCATGATTGCATTAATTTCTCATGCAAGCAAGATTATGTTAAAGAGGCTGCAGAACATCATTGATGAAGAGTTACCTGATGTACGAGCTGGCTTTACAAAAGGGTGCGACACTTGAGATCACATTGCCAATATTAAATGGATTACGGAAAAAGCACGTGAATATCAAAAGGATATCTATACGTGTTTTATCGATTACAGAAAAGCTTTTGATTATGTAAACCACAATAAACTTTGTGTGATTTTGATGTCCAAACCCACCTAATCAGACTTATCAGATCACTGTACACCAATCAGGAGACAACAGCAAAAACACTCTATGGTGATACAAATAGATTCAGGATTAGTAAGGGAATTAGACAGGAATGTATGTTGAAGTGATCATGCAGAAATTAGACCTAGAATTGCCTGATTTGGAAGTGAAGATTGGAGGCAGAACCATAAATAATTTTAGATATGCAGGTGATACAACATGGTTTGCTAAAAATAAGGATGACCTGGAATGAACTGGAAAACCAAGGATGAAAGTGAAAAAGTAGGATTGAGTCTTAAATTCAGGAAAACAAAGATAATGTCAACAGCTGTAGATGGACATAAAATGTTTAAAATAAACAAGAAGGAAATTGAAGTAGTTTGAGAATTTATCTTTCTTGGATCAACATTTGTTCAAGATGGCAGTTTTACACCTCAAATCAAACACAGGATAATGTTAGGCCACACTGCAATGGTTAATATGAATAATATCTGTAAAAGCAGAGATATTGATATAAATAAAAAAGCAGGTTATTTAGAACAGAATAACAGAATAACAAGAGTTGCAAGGAACAGGAAACCAGTCTCTTCTTAAAAACTTCCTGTGTTGGATCATTCACAACTTCTGGAGGCAAGTTATTCCACTGATTAATTGTTCCAACTGTCAGGAAATTTCATCTTAGTTGTAGGATGTTTCTCTCCTTGATTAGTTTCCATCCATTGCTTCTTGTCCTGCCTTCAGGTAATGATGTATGGGTGTGAAAGTTGGACACTAATAATGGCTGAAAAAGAATCGATGCCTTTGAACTGTGGTGCTGATGTAAATTATTGCATATACCATGGACATCCAAAATAACCAACAGGGAGGTGTTGAATTGTATAAAACCAGAAACTTCACTTGAAGCCAAAATGACAAGACTACATCTGATTTACTTTGGCCATGTCTTGCATGCAAATTCATTGGAGAAGTCAATAATGCTAGGAATGATTAGTGGATGAAGAAGAAGGGGCAAACAAAGAACTTGTTGGCTTGATACCATCAAAGCTGATTCAAAGAAGTTGTGCTTGACAGTGTAGCATGGAGAGCACTTGCCTATAAAATCGCCAAGAGTTAGAAATATCTGATGTCAATGTTCTAACCAATTAGATTTCATATAATGTTAAATTTATCTCTTAAAAGAATGGAAAGATTACAAGCACATAATTTAATATAACTTAAGCTTTCCTTTTTTGCTGAAAGCAGCTCCTAAAATTATTTAGCATCAAAAGCAGTGGACTTCGAAATATAGCTCAGGCTAGGACTGATATAATGAAAAGAGTATGAAAAGGCATGAGAAAGAGGGAAACCAGAATTCAAATAGGATGAAAGATAAAAATTAATAAAGTCAGGCAATTGAACCTGAAGACCTTAGTAGCAAGAATAATAGCTAGCTCTGCTTAAGTAATTCTTCTCAGATTGATTATCTGTTACACTACATTGAGATATCTGGATTATTGATCAGTTAGATTAATAATCTAACTGATCAATAATTTAAATCCCCTTCTCTGTTTCTCACTTGGCACATACAATGAAGTTGTACCAAACAATACTAAGTAAGGACTACTTTGTTATAGTTGTCACCCTTTGTGCAAAACATCGCAGTTGTTTTTTAATTTAAAATCAATGGATGTGTGAAAGGCAGCCCTGTTTCTTCAGCATAAATGAATCATTCGTCTCTGCAAAGCATAGCAATTTGATCACTAACCAAGGTACGAATATTGATAGTGAGTTTCTTTCTTTTTTCTAAATTTGCTACTGTTTTGAGGAAAAGGCATTTTTCAACAGGCTGAAAACAATTAAACACCATGATAAGAAATGGAAAATGAATAATAATTATTACTAAAAATATCCCCTGCCCTCTCCAATAAAACACAAAAGTTAAACAGCTATTCTGCATGTTGATATGACAGAATCTAAAAAGCAATTTGAAGGAGACAATCATATACACACAATGGTTTCCTCAAATTGCAAATCTATTCTAGTAATAATAATCTATTTCTATGAAAAGCTCTGTGAATAATACCTGGGAAGTTTATCTTACAGCCCAAAGCGGAATGAGTGAGTCCACTTACCCATCTAGTTTTCATTGTAAACGGTGCTTCTGAAGTTGTCTTTAAGATGTTTTATATCAAAAATTATTTTTTTTAAAAAAACACTGAGTGCTACCCAAAATATCAAACTTTTAATAGAGGTTAGATGCTACAACCATCATAGAAAATAAAGCCACTTCCCCTTGGAGAGAAGCAAATGCCTGTAAGCAGGAAATGAGGTGTGGGACGAAGCTGTAATCATAACAGCAACTTCTTTAAATAATAGATTTATATTGTTTTAATGATGTTACTTTTTCTAGTTATCTTATATAAGCTCCTCTCAAAAGTCTTGGCATATATTTACTTTTTGAAAAAAAGCAAAAAAATAAAAAAGTCTATGATAAAACTAAATTAATATTTACAAAAAATATTAATGTCTTGCCTAATTATACATTTCAAATAGCTTCAATGGGACCTGGGAAAACAAAATGTCACTCAACAGCCTTGCCTATATGTTTCTTAGCATGAAACTGTAGCCTTGAAGATTAAAAAGAGTTAATTCCCTTGATTCCTCTCTATTTATCCATAGATAGCTGCAAGCTATCATTTATAAACAATATTCTGGCAGAGAGCTCGGGATACTAGATGGCAGGGCTAGAGAACTTGTTAAGACCACCTTGCCTGAAAACCTGGCTGTTGACATGCCAGTGACAGGGACTCGAGCAAGTTGTGTCAAAGGAAATAATTCTAAAGGAAAGACAACAGAAACTTGTCGCCTCTTTGTACACATTTACAAACAGAGCTTTCCAGAGTATTAAGCCTAGTTAAAGCTGCCCTCTGGATAAAGAGTGTTCTGAACAGCCTCAGACAAGCTCAGAAGACAAACAGATGCGACTATGGTCCCTGGCATTTGGCAAGAACACTCATTGTCACTAAGAAGGATATAAGCCTCGACAGGGCATCAGCTGTACAACTGTGAAGCAGGCCTGCAAGTACCAAGGTGGCAACAGAATTGTGGCAAAAGTAAAAAATTGGCTGGAAAAGTCAGACTAGTGTGAATTTACATGAGCAGACCAAACATACACTGCTTATTCTCATATCTTCTAAAATTAATTAAAAAAGCAAACAGAAGATTTCAATATTTGTTTATATTAAAATATAGAATATAAAGGGTTTGCTCTTAAGTGACAAATTACAAGAATAGATGTAATAAAATATCAAATTCTGAATCATAGAAAAAAATTATGATACTGAAAATGTATTAGCAGCTATTTTTTAAAAAAGATTTATTTACATATATGCTATTTGATACCAACACAACTGTTTCTTCTCTTTTGAATATCTATTTCCTTTATAATTTAATTTAATTTCATACTTTATTATATTGCCCAGCAATTATTTCTTGTAACTTTCCCAAATAATTTTTACCAGCCACTGTACTCAAAACTAAAAGACAGAATACGGTTGTTATTTTAATTTCTACAGTTTCCTGTTACTAACCCTACACCTTTTAATAACTATGAACTGTTATAACTGATCAATGAGGACTGAATCTATTACAAACAGATCACTTCGACCCATTCCACTTTGCTTTACTGTGACT